GCGACCCCATGGACTGCAGCCTACCAGGCTCCTCCGTCCATGGGATTTTCCAGGCAAGAGTACTGGAGTGGGGTGCCATTGCCTTCTCCAATATTTTAACGCTAAGTGTTCTCTAAAAAGAAGCAGGGTGCAGAATTATACCTAAGGTATGTACCTTGATGTGCACTAAGATGTGCTCGTAAAGCAGTGTGTATGGATTTGTGTATGTGTGTAGAAGGAGACAGGTTGCCAGGATGATGGCTACCTGCCAGATGTGGGTGGTTGTCTCAGCACAATAATGTCATGATTTGCTTGTTTCTCGTTAAAGAATCTGGTAGGTAAGAATACTTGATCACCAGCCTCTATCAGCTAAGGCATTCTGATTTTCAGATAATGCTTTTGCTCTCACTGGGAAAAGTAGAAGTTGTAGGGGCAGAAAGTCATTATTCTGGTTCTCAGGCACTGTTTTTGGTAAGACTTTATGTTTGAAGCTCCTTGGGACTCATTTCAATCAGTAATTATTCTATCATGAATCCTTCTTACATTAGAAAGACCCTGAAATCCTGGCTTCAAGCTCTGGGGAAAGCCAGACCCAGGGAGGTCAAATAATGAGTGAAACAGACATGCTCTAAGGGGCTGAAACAGCAGAGTTTGGGGGTTAGTGGGTAGTTTACTGCTGTGTCTTGCCTGATGTTTAGGTACATTCTGGCAGCTTTTTCTTATTTTTCTGGAATGTTGAAGGTCATGATTTTCTGTCTGGCATTGACTACCTCATCTCCAGCAGTGGCTTCTATTTGGAATAAAGGATTGGCTGATGGCAGGGTTGGGGGAAGATAAATTAGGAGTTTAGGATTAACAGCTAGATACTACTATATATAAAATAGTTAATAATAAGGACCTACTGTATAGCACAGGGAACTATATTCAATATCTTTTAATCAACTGTAAGGAGCCTGTAATGGAAAAGAATATGAAAAAGAGCATGTGTGTGTGTGTGTATATATGTATATTTTATATATATATATATATATATAAAATATATATAATGTATGGGTTTCCCTGGTGGCTCAGATGGTTGTATATATTATATATCTGAATCACTTTGTTATATACCTGAAACTAACAGAACATTGTAAATTGCCTGTACTTCAATTTAAAAAAGTGGTTTAGAAAAAAAGAATGAGCTGAAATGAGTGAATGGAAAAGAGAACAGCTGTGATTTTCATTCAAGGCAGAAAAGGTGATGATATCACATGCATAGCTCCCCCCCCACCCCCAACCCCCAAATGAAGG